GAAATAGAGAAATTTGAGCCAGAATTCTCGTCTTTTGATCAGGCTGATGTTCTCTCTCTCTCTCTCTCTCTCTCTCTCTCTCTCTCTCTCTCTCTCTCTCGTCATTCTATGGATTTGTGAAATTATGCTTCTGTGGAATTTTTTATAGTAGAAAGACAAGCTGTTGATGATATTTTCCCTTCTTCAGAAAGTGACGGCTTCATCTGAGAATTTCCATGTTGATGAAAATGATGAGAACCAAGACCGTGGTAACTGGTCGAAAAAATCAGATTATCTTCTATCTATGGTTGGATATGCAGTGGGATTGGGGAATGTGTGGAGATTCCCATATTTGACCTACAACAATGGCGGAGGTACTCCCCCCAACCTTTTTATTCTCCAGTTTTAAGTGGGGTGCCGAATGACCTCTGAGGATATTTTAAGAATGAGGAAAGGCATATTATGTTTTGGATTAATGGGAGGCTGGAACAAAAGCATACTGCATTCATTATTAAGCTATGAGTTGCTAGCTCAAGTTAGAAAGCTGGCTTCACTAAATCCTCAGATATAAACTTGATAAAAGTTGTGTGTTTATCATTTCTGAGTTTCTGATTTGAGATCATGTGTAATCTTCAACTGTGACTTACTCTTCTTAATTTATACATTTCTATAATAATCTGTTCAGACTTAAGTAGTGTTTTGCTTAATTTATAGCTGAATCTAAGCAAAAGAGTGAATTCTAGTTCTAATAGAAGCTCAAATAAATTGTTTGTGTAAATAGAATAAGGCATTTCATTTTGAAAATTTAATTGTAGAAGCAGTTGATTAAAAAGTAAGGAAAGGTTTTGTATTTTAAGCTGCAATATTCAGTTACATATATTCCAAATTGAATTGACTATTTAGAAAATAGTTCTAAAATGTAATAGAATTTAGTTCAAGGCTAGGTGTTTAATTTCTGCAAACAATACTGTTTATAGTTCAGAAATCATTAAGACTCAGTTAGAACAAGGAGAAAAAAATTAACTCTGAGATGACACACAGAATACAAAATGAATTGCACAATTCTATAGTAATGTTGAAACAACTTTTTGCTTACACCATATTTTGTTTACTTATAATTACAGGTTCTCTTAGAAGTGTAGAGGTGACATTTCCTTATATTTCATAATTGGGTACCAGTGAAACTATGCTACTGTAATTTTTTTGGTACAATAAGATTTTATGTGGTAATATTTCAATTTTATATTCCTTCTTATTTGTTTGTATTAAAAGATTCATATTGGCTTTCAGAAACTTAAGAAAGGAGGTCCGTTTATCAAACACTACGTGCTGGTGGCAAAAAAAAAAATTCCCTACCTAGACCCTACGTCATTTAGTCATGGGTTTTATATAAATTTGAGCTGGAAAATGAGTGAAAAATCACAATGTTTTTGGTGACTATGTCCTAAGATCTAGTGTAATGAAGAGAAACATTTAAGCTCCTTTCCAGCCTCTTGCATTCAGATTTAGAATAAGAAATTCCCTGTAACTTGACATCATAGACAGGCCCAGTAGTTGTTATAAATTTCCAATAACTATATTAAACTAAGTTTAATAAAGAATTTTAAACATAGCCCAAACAAAATAGTATCATTTATTGTACACTACTATCTCTTTTAACATATCCTCTAAAAATTAATTTATTATATTGCTCTCAGTTTTTAAAGATCACATCTTTTGGGTAATGGATGATCTAGGCTCTCTCAATTGTTTCTTTCTCTCTTGCTCAAGGGTAGAAGATAAACATAAAATTCAAACTTGGCAAATGTTAATAGATCCAATTTTAAAAATATGTTCAGATTTGAAGAATTATTGCTAAAATCTGGACTCATTTTTATCTGTAGATTCTTTTTAACAGTTTATGAAAAGGAAGTATCATACTACCTTATTACTAATTTGTGATGACTATATTGTGTTAATTTACCAATATGGCTGTTATTGAGAATGAAATAATATAATGGTAAAAAGCTACATATGACACTGAAGAAAATAATCCTTTATTTTTTTAAAAAAAAAAACCCTATTTACATTGGGCTAGTAAGCCTTTGATTATTGTTCTACTTTGATAGAAATATTTTGCATTATATTTTCTTCATATTTATCATTGGCAGAAATTAAACTTCTATTAATTATAGTAATAATGGTATGTATATTGCAACTTCTATAAAAACATATTTGTCCCTATGTTCTAGTGACTAGTGGCTTATATATAATAAGTACTTCATTGTCTCATTTTCAGTAGGATATAGTTTGAAGGTTGGAAAAATATAATTCCTAGATATGATGTTACAGTATCATAATATGAAAAATACATTAGGAAAATTATGTAATATGGATAAATGAAATGTACATAATCCAAAAGCTCATTTTAATATACTGATTCCCCTATTTTCTTATTAAATTTTAAGACTTCTAGAATATGTGATCAATAAATTTAATATTCTTTACCTGCTTCTACCCACAATCTGTCAAAGGTTCTAATGAGCAATATTATGCCCCAAAAGTGGGCAGAAAAAAGTAAAATAATAAAAGTGTTTAAATAAATCTAAATGTATGATAATGAGTCCTTAAGAAATTGAAAGTTAACTCTTAATGCATCTCAAAGTTCAGATTCTTCTAACAAAAATGATAAATTTATTAATATTGAGAAAAGAACCTTATAACTATTTGGAGAAAAATGATCTTTACTGCAATGACTTCCACTCTGAATAACATTTAGCATTTGCACCCTGTCTTACAAATAGATCATTTATTTTTAAAGGCGAAAGGAGGGAAACCAACTTTGAATATATACTATGTGCCTGCCATTTTGCCAAGTGTTTTCACGGGCTCTGAATTGAACCCTTACCACAAACTGATGAGTTGGTACATATTGTTCTCCCCATTTATGAAGAACCCAAGGTTCAGAGGTTAGATAAATTGCCCCAAGTCACATAACTAGTAAATTCTGGGGCCAGGATATAAACCTAGGTCTATCTTGCTCCAAAGCCTGTGATCATTCACATTGTCTGAATTGCTTTTTATAGGCTATTGTTTTTAGTAATCACAACAACCTTATTATGTAACACAGCCATTCCTTGAATAACAATTTTATTCAACGTCCTTTCACTAACATTGATGAGATGCCACAGGAACTTAACTCTTGTTTATATCAATTAACTTGTGGGAAGATTGGTTTCATTATACATTGTTTCACTTAAAGTTGCAGAGCCTATGAACAATGTTAAGTCAGGACTTACTGTACCAGCATCCTCATTTCATAGATGAAGAATCCAAGGTTTAGAGAACCAATGACTTTCCAACAGAAAGTAGTAAATTTGGGGCCTGAACTCAGTATACTCTGACTGCACTACTATATCTGAATGCTTTCAAAATGTTATGCTGGTTGTCAAAGTGTCATCAAGCTTTTGGGTATGATAGTGCTTTCTATCCTTTTTTGCATTTTCTAGGTGCCTTCTTGATACCTTATGCAATTATGCTAGCACTGGCTGGTTTACCTTTGTTCTTCCTAGAGTGTTCACTGGGACAATTTGCTAGCTTAGGTCCAGTTTCAGTCTGGAGGATTCTTCCATTGTTTCAAGGTCGGTATTAAAATATTTTCCTTATTGTGCTCGTCAATCTATTCATGCATATAACTGTCCTCACTACGTGGAAGAAAGTGTTTAAAAGTTGGACAGACAATGGACTAGTGGTTACCAGAAAGGAGAGAGGAGGAGGAGGGGGAAAATAAAAAAAATAAAATGTTAAAAAAATTAAATATAAATAAATAAATAAAAAGTTGATGGAGGAGGTGATGGGAAAACGAGGAAAAAAAGTTGGACAGGTTAAAGGCAAAGAAACACATCATTTTTCTGCATATTTGCCACTGTAGAATTTAAAAATCGAATATTAATTTTTTATTTTTGCTTATCTAGAGCTGCAGATATAGAAGGGATAGGGAAGAATATTCGAAGATTGTAAGAGTGTCATTCTTTTCTTATTTTCACCTTTTAAATACCTTGGCGCATGGTCCTGTTGTGCATTAACTTTGTGGCTTTGGATTTTTTCTACTTCACGTGCAGTCTTTGTCTTCTAGTTTTTGCATACCTTTTACAGTGCCTCATTTAGAAAAGTTGAAAGGCAGGTCACAGTTTTTTTCTTGGATGCTCTTAAGAATAGGACACTGGAAACATTTTTAAATATGCTTTGATTGTTATCAAACATCAAATGACTTTATGTCTGAAGATTAGATCTCATTTTGGTACGTGCTAGCTGCTGAAAACTATTTGTAAAAGCCTCAATGCAACATCAAAAATAAATTTATAGTGGTGTCAGTAGACAATTGTTCTAGAATATTAAGAAAGCTACCTCAAAAGCTAGCTTTAAGCATAGGAGTTACATTCAATATAGTAAGCTGCATTTTGAAACTACTGAGTTAAAAAAAAAAAAAACTTAAGAAGTTTAAATTCAGATTGTTATTGAGTTATTGAATTTTCTTTACATGTATTTGTAGAGATTTTGTACACTATCCTTTCAGGGCACTAATTCATAGGTTTTATCTTCTATTTGTCAAAATGTTGGTTCATAGATGAAGATGTAAGTATTGGTGAGTCAATATGATATGAGCTTTCAATAATTTTTTCCCTTTCTTTTTTAAAGAATAATACCCACTCTGATAAGAATTTACAGACTTAATAAGAAAGAGTAATGAATATGGATTTTTCTTTATGTGAATTTAATGGATTAATACTTTTATATGAATTTAATGGATTAATGCCTTTGGTCTTAGTACCTTTTTGAAATCAATTAAAATACTGTCTCAGAAGGACAGTCATCAAAATAATTCTAAATTTGAGAAGTTGTTCAGACAGTAGTACTGCTTCATCACCCCCTCCCCCCCAAAAAGTTCTTTGAAACAGCCTTGTCACTTTAAAATAGATTTTGTAGAAATTGAGATGCAGCATTTTTATGAATTAGCAACAGCAATTTCACGTTTTTTTTAAATTTCTCTCTTTTTCAGGTGTGGGAATTACAATGGTCCTGATATCCATTTTTGTCACCATCTATTACAATGTCATAATTGCCTATAGTCTTTACTACATGTTTGCTTCTTTTCAAAGTGAACTACCATGGAAAAATTGTTCTTATTGGGCAGATAAAAACTGTAGCAGATCACCTATAGGTAAAATTCATTTACTTATTTTCTAAAATATTATTAGCTCTATTTCATTCTTTTATATTTTCTAATACACTTAAAGCATTAAATCATTTTCTAACCAATTTAGGAATAGTTTAAAGCAAGCTATAGGTTATTGATGAAAGCAGAATAAAGCATGTATAACCTGAAAATTGATTAATGCAATATTAATTTCGGAGGGCAGCCAGTACTGCTAAACCACTATTAGGAATACTTCTCACAGGCCTAAGTTGTGGGCAAGAGAGAAGGAAGACAATGGGAAAGTGGTAAAAAGAGAAAAGTATTATCCATGATACTAGTTGTGTGTTTCAGAAGACAGCGAATGTTCCCCACATCATATGTTGCTAATCTTAGAGATACCGTAGCATTAATATTGTAGACTATTACTACTGGGACTGCCTATGTATATCAGAAGATAAAGTAATAAAGATTGAATGCTTCTTAGGAATTTAAAGATGTTATTTTTCTATATGGTTGAATAAGTCCACATACTAAAAGTTCCTTAGAGCACTAAATCCCAACTAAAATTATTGTTCATTTATAGCTGTTATTACTATAAATATGATCACAGTTTAAAAGGGCACTTATTTTCATACACACTCCCAGCTTAGTAATAGAGAAGATTTAAGATGCTAAGTATGCATGGCTTAATCCATTTGTACAATTTCTACTCCACCTTTACCAAGTAACAATTTAGACAGTACTTTAAATATTTTACCATTACAACTTTTTTTCAAGAAAGTACTCTTTTAAAACTAAGTACATATCTGTGTGTGCATTTTTTTAAAATAATTTTTAGTAACTCACTGTAATGTGAACATAACAAAGGAGATCATCCAAGTGAATAAAAGCTGGATAGACACCAACAATTTAACCTGCATCAATGGAAGTGAAATTTACCAGCCAGGGCAGCTTCCCAGTGAACAATATTGGAAGTAAGTACCTTAGATGATCTACTTCTTAAGCAGTTACTAAAAAGTTTTTATAATTAACAATAAAATATTAATCAGCTCTTTTCTTAAGTCATATAAGTTGAGAAAAAAGGGAATCAGAGCAAATTCTACTCCATTTGACTCAAATGTTTACCTTTCCTGTGTGAGTAGTGGTAACCTGCTCTAGTCAATAAATTACTATCTATAAATTAGTTATTAAATGGGTACAAGACTGTCAGTAATTATTTATTTAACACTATAAATTAAGGCATTGCTTTGAAGAAAAAACATTCAAATTTTAGACTATAATTCACAAGTTCTAATGATAAACAATTGAGTGATGAGTAATTTTGGGGTAAATTGCTATTTAAGGCTGTAATTCTTCATTATCCATTTTGTTTATAATTGTCTCTGTATGGTAGAAAGAGACATTTTGGATTATATTTACTTTTATTAATTTTAAATATTCTCTATTTTCTCTATTGTGTACTTACTTTTTACTCTGACCCTAATTTCCTTGACTACTGTTGTAATGAGCTCTTCCTCATCTACATGTTAATGCTTTGTTGTGATCCTTTTAAAATTTGTATCTTAAAATGCTCCAAAAATCAGGCTAAGAAGTAAAGTCATAGATCCATGTGTTCCGCTAGTGGAAATTATAGAATTTTACAGAAAACTTTTGGAAAAGGTATAAATAATGGGACGATATAGGTATAATGATAAATACAAGTCTGATGAATAAGAAAGTATTTAATACAATTCTAAATGTTTTCTTTGACATTTTTACTTGAGAAAGATACTGTAGTGAGTAAAATGAAATAATCTGATGTAAAGTTATTTATTTATTTATTTTTTACATAAAGAATCTTTGAAAGACTGGTGAAAATTATAGTTAAAGAAATTAGTAGATCTTTTATTCTAGGATTTGGAACTTTGGATTGGTTGTAGTTAAGGTTAAAGTTCAGAGCCTGGCTTTTCATTGAAGGCTTTTTTTCCCCTCCATAATACAATATCAATAAAAGGTTCATATAACATTGATATATTAATAAGATGAAATACTTATGAAGCTTCCTCCTTATTAAGACAAGGGCTTATGTGTTTTCAGCAAAGTGGCACTCCAACGTTCAAGTGGAATGGATGAGACTGGAGAAATTGTGTGGTATTTAGCACTTTGTCTTCTTCTGGCTTGGCTCATAGTCGGTGCAGCACTATTTAAAGGAATCAAGTCTTCAGGCAAGGTAATTTGAAACACACATTACATAGTGGTAGGGCTGTTTTCCAAGTTCATTGTAGTTCGGTGTTAAGTATGCTCAAATGCATGCTTTTTTTTCTGTAATGGGAACATTCAAATATGTGAAAAGCTTTCTAAGTAGACGGCCTAGCTCTAAAAAAATATGTAGGATCACTGTTATTGTTAAAAATAAAACAAAACAAGCACAAACTAGTACTAAAGTTGTGTAATTACTCAAAACTTAGACTCTTCTTGCTGATATAGTATTCTGAAGCTTGCAAGTATATTTTTAACTTTTCTGTCCTATATAAATAAGCATCTTGAATGGAATTATGTATTGTAATCTTTGTTTTAAAAAGCCTAGATCCTTGTTATATAGGGTAATAATTTCAGGATTCCCTAGTTGGAAAGAGATAGAAAAAAAATAAATTATGTAATCATTCTCTTAAAGTTCACTTAAATTGACTCAGAACCCTCTCCTTCAACAAAGAGTCCTCTTCTGAAAAAACATTATATTTTCTTACTTCATTGTTTTATTTTTTAAACTTTCAAAAAATATTATGGTCATTTCAGAGAACAATATGAAATTTTTTCTGTGAACATTTGTACAGTACCTAGAAAAGTGAATGTTTACATTTTTACAACTGTAGAGTGAAATTTCCTTAAAGGTGGAGGACAGGAATAACTGTGGATACTATCTTTGTATTCCTGGTACAATATCTAGCACATTTAATTAATGTTAAGTTGTGATGAAATATACTGTTAGATCACAAAAATACTGTGAACGAAGTCAGTGGAAACTTTCCAAAATAATGTTTTAATTGCACATTTTTGAAACCGTGGTTCCTTTTTTTGCTGTTAATATTGAAAGAATCCATTAAAAGTCATTTACCCAGGCAATTAATTTTTATTGGTCTCTGGCTGGCTTGTTTAAATCATCTCCTTGGTCATATTATCAAACATAAGACATCTACAAATCAAAGAAATCATCCACATTAATGAAAAGCCAACGTCAAAGGCAATCTGCTCACCTGGAACCATGTGTTTTCTAGGACACAATCAGTGCACTTGTATGTGTGCTAGCAAACTGTCTTAATGGTAGATTTAAAGATAATAATAGCAAATGTCCAGTATTCATTTTAATTAGCTTTCATGAGATTTGGACATCTACTAAGAGATTGTTTTCCTTTTCCTTGGTGAGTGAGTATACATTACAGGGTTTAAAATCATTTTTTCCCCACTTCAGTGCAGTAATTTATGAAGAGATGTTGTTCAGTTCATATATATATATATATATATATATATATATATACACATTCAGTTCATATATATATATATACATAC